CAGCGCACCCTTCATGCGACTCGCCGAATATCTCACGGCGCTTCGCGCTTGGTGATGTGAGAGCCTGGTCCGGTGAGAACCCGGCGTGCTCCGTCCCGGCTTTGTAGGGATGCGAGGTCAATGGTCTAACGACTACGGCATACACGACTATGAGTACCCCCCCCCCCCTCTCTCTCTGCCCCCCGCGCCGGGGATTATCAGTGAAGAACTGTCGTGCTCCATCCCGTCTTTTGCTGGGATGCAAATAGCGTGTACAGCTATAAATGGTACGGTACTAGAGAGTAGACCCCCCCCCACCCTCCGCCCGGCCCTCGGATACCGAGAATCAAAATTACCACCGGCACCAACTGGAGCACCAGCAGCGGCTGTATAAAACTTTCCTCACCTCATCTACAGCGGCCCGACGCCCCTGGACAATAGCCTTGAGCTCGCTTGCCTTCTCCGCGAACCTGGCCTTCTCCGCCACCAATGCTCCTGCCGCTGCCGCCTGCGCCGCCTGCGCAATCTCCTGCTCCTCGTTTTGCGCCTTTTTCAAGGCAGCGGCCACCGCCTTAGACTCCGCCGCCGCCTTTGCTTGATCGGCCGCGTCGGCTTGGGCCTGGGAGGCAGCCAACGCCGCCGCAGCCTGGTCCTTCTCCTGTTGAGCCTTCGCCGCTTCTGCCGCCGCGGCTGCCGCTTCCACCGCCTTTGCCCTAGCGCATAGCGGTCGGGGATAAGAACAACAGTGACGAGAACACGACAACGCCCAGCCAGCGTGAGGAGATATGCGTACAACGTTACATCGTTGTCGACTCGGAAAAGCAAGATAAAGCGGTAGGTCTACAGTCCAAATGGTCGGCAAGAGAAGAGTGGTTGATTTGAGCGACATGCTACCGTTACCGCTCGGAGGGACACAGACAATACTCCAGGAACAAGCTCGCCGACAACGGGTTTGCGTTACGAAGTTCATCACCGACCGTAGAGATCGTCAGACGAAAATGTTTGAGGGAAGCAAAGCGGGTTGGTTTCAAGCCAACAAGACAACGAACTCGAGAGACGCAAATGTGGGCAAAGAGAAGGCGATAGTCCCAGCGCCAACCTACACCTTCACGGCCGACGGAACCGAGAGGACAAAGCAGCGCCAGACCAGCACCACCAACACCACAACAAAAACACAACAAAGGATGCAACACCCCACCTCGCGTCCTCTGTGTCCTTGTTTCTTGCCGCTTTCAGGGTTTCCGATGCCGACACCACCTCTGGCTGATTCTTGACACTCTCTGTCGTGTCGCTGCTTAGCAAAGCCTCGAGCCCCGCCGAGTTTCCTACGGCACAGTACAGACCAGCCAACCGCATTCATTCAGCGACAAAAGAATGAGTTCGACGACAGAAAAGGGCAGAGGTCTAGGTGAATCGGCTCCCGTAGCCCCCTGCATCTCCTGTACATCGGAAGCGATTCATTACGAAGGCTGCCATCCCCCCTCACCGGCATCGTTGGCCTCCTTGACCTGCTTCAGGAAAGCCTCCAGCGCCGAGTACTTCTTTTGGAGACTTCTCACTTCTTCGTCGTCCTGTTTACCGAGACCGAGCACAGAAAGCACAGGGCAAGGAAGGGGACGGGGATTTCAGAATAGCGTGACTGTGGGGGGGGGAGCACGATAAAAACACGCACAAAATAGTGTGTTTTACTCGATCAGTCAGACCTTCAACTCAACACACCAACAGATCGGTCGGTACCTTTCCGAACAAAGGGAAATCTCCTGTCCAAAAAATATTCTTGAGTAAAGCTTTCTTCGCAACGTCAATCCAAACCGACGACAATTGCTATAATAGTAGGATTGCATTCTAGAGCAACTGATCATTTACCAATAATGGCTGATTCCCTGCAACAACTGCTGACACCTTCCCTTTCCTTTGACGCTTGACCCTTGTACTTACATGCTCCCATAAAGTACTGACCAACCAGGAACCCGTCTCGTCGACAACTCATTCCTGACAACCTACAGCACTACCTGTAGGCTGCAACAGCAACGACAACGCTACGGAGAAAAAGAAGCTAAAACGTTGCTATTCCTCTGCTGGTGTGTCACATCTTGCCTTGAATCGTGAGCTGGGGCTGTCCGCTCCTCCAGCAAATAGGCTTCTAAGCTTGGCCATGTCGGGACCCTCAGCTGCGTCGAAGGCGGTGTTTGCAGTGGCCACGAGGTCCGCGAGCGCCTCCTGCGCTTGTCCGAACGCCATCAGTGCCTCGGCCCGCCTGACAGAAGATAACGTTAGTGTGAGGGACGCGGATCGCAGATCAGCACGTCAAACGTCACCGAGTGACAAAAGGTCTAACAGAGAAGAACCAAAAGGAGAGGCGAGAGAAGAAGAAAACGAATCCGCCTAGACATTACGCATGCTCTGCATAGAAGCTCTCGGAGCCCTGGCGCCGTCATCTTCACATCATGGACGGCGTCCACTGCCGTACGAATTACGCTAGTACCACCAATAGCAACGGCACCAAACCCGCTCTTCTGAGTAACTACCACGCGCAGACCTTGCTCGAATTCTTCGAACGTTACACGTTCAAGTCTCTGTCGTCTACGCTGCCTCGATAAGATCACCACAACAGCAACAACCACGAAACAGCCAAAAGCATACCGTCGACACCAAAGTGAGCGTCTCAATCTAGACCACGCACTCACAGGTTCTTAAGCCTCCGCATCCTCGCCATCGCCTTCTCTTCCGCCGCCTTCCCGTGCTCCTCCTCCGCTACGTTTACCCGCCGCCACATCTCCACACCCTCCTCCTCTCGCGCCGACAGCTCCCCCGTTGCTCCTTCCGAGCGATGAGTTCAAGTGGCAGCGGCGGGTACCAGGGGACGCCCACAAGAAACAAGAGGGGGGGGTCATAAGGCAAGGAGGGTGGGTGGTAGGGACAGAAAATACGTCGCCACCGCGCGAAGTAGGTGTGGGGAGGATACAGCGGTCGCGATAAACCGCTTCCGTGTTTAGATCAGATACCGAAGGCCAGGCGAGGCAACCCACGGAGACAGCGGTTTTTAACTATTATCGGCGTCACGACAAGAGTAAACACACCGACAACCGCACTGCTCCAAGCTCTTCAGCAATCAAGCCGCGCGCCCACCTTTGATCCTGCGCGGGACGCCCTCCTCCTTCCTCTCCTCCTCACCGCCATCGTCGCTCCCGCCCTCATGAGGCGGGTGCGCCGAGTGAAATGCCTGGCGGATTATCTCGGCCTGCAGCTCGCGCGTCTTCCTCTTGAGCTTGGTGGCCGACCTCGCACGCTTGGCGACGGCCTTAGTCCCCAGCAGCGCCTTGAAGAAGCCGGCGCGGAAGATGAGACGGGATGGCGTCGAAGATCGGCGGTGCTCCAGCTCCAGCTCCTCCTCGTCTGCGGCGACGGCATTTGTGGGCACGCCGGTGGCGGAGGCGCAGTAGCTGACGGAGCGTTTCGCTGCCGCCGGCGAAACGAACGTACTGTCGGCTGGGCAGGTTCGCCGGAGGAAGGGGGAGGAGGCTTGGCGCCGCCGGTCCAAACCTTCCTCTCCTTCGTTGGCGGCGAGCAGTTCCTGCTGTTCCTCATTTTCCTCGGCACGATGCCGTTTCGTGTTGCCCAAGTAGGTACCGGTGCGGTAGGCGCCCTCCTCTTCCTCCTCCCGAGTGCGACGTCGGCGGCCGCCTCCGTCTGCCGCCGCTCCTAATACTGCCGCCGCTCCTAGGGCGGCGGCGGGAGAGCCGAGGTCGGTGTGTGTTGAGGGTCTGTCATCGCCTACTCCTGTGCCATTTTCGCATCGATCACTGCCGCTGTGGTGTCGCACGTGCAGAAGTCTCCCGTGAGATCTTCGCTGAGAGGCCGGGTGAGAGGAGGATGAGGCCCACCCGGGCGGCGGGTTTGGGTCGGAGGTGCCCCAAGGGTTCGACAAGGAAAGCAGGCGAGGAGGCGAGGTATGCTCGTCTGCTCCATCGTTGTCGGCTTTCTTCTCGTCCTGGCCATCACGCCGAGGAGAAGATCGCCCAGCAGCGTCGAGTTCGAGAGCGGCAGGCACCCCCATGGAGGAGCTGCTGCTGCTGCTGGATCGGCGGCTTAGATTGTTGCCGTTTGGTCCATGTGGTTGCGCGGGACCTTCATCCTCTTGCTGCGCTGGGTTCCACAGATTGGCGAACTTTCTGCGGAGCTGATTCATCGAAACCTACTGGTGCACGAGGCGCTGAACCTGATCCCCGCAGAGGATGCACAACCATGCCACTGCGCACTGCTGCTGTGCTACTCGCAGCACGCGACTGACTTGCTTGCTGCACGTGGCTGCTCGCTGCTGCTCGTGTCGCGGGGCTCCGCGAAATGAATAGTACCCTGTGGATTATCGCAGCTGCGCCGCCTCACCGAGCTGTCGGGGCTCGGGCACCAGTGTTATTTGGTTTAGGAAATTTTTTTTTTTATGCGCCGCTGGCGCGCAGAACTTATACACAAAACACGCCTCCTCCCGAAGCCTTAATCACTGGGCGTCAGTATCCAACTGGCGAGAGGCCTGACGGAGAGGTGGAAAGCTTATCTAGGAGGGGATAATCCTAGGCAAGAGCACCACGGCTGGGTGGATCAGGTACGTGGCTACTGACATTGCCAAGGTTTTCGGCGTAGCCTGTTCTGCAAGGCTAATGGTGAGGACATCGCCGAAGTGACTAGAAGTGACCTTGAAAAACGCGCCGCAGCTAGACAGTCACGGCAGTCTCGCCGCACATCACGCTGTGCTCATGACACATCATGAACGCGCTCCTTGTCCGCCTCTCTGCGAGAAGAAGAGTTCCGCAGGATAAGCATACATACGTCGACGCTTTATTGTGATAGTCGGCAGTGAAAAATGCGGCTGATATGGCCCAGTGCTTTCCACGGTACCTCATTCCACTCATAATAACTGAAATACCTTTCTTTTGGTGGAGGGAAGGTATCATGTTAACGAGTCTTTACACTACCGTGTAGTGCAACCAACCGGTACATCGAAATCTATGCGCAGGTTTGGCATACGACGCCTTCCTTAGGGATGCTTTGGGGGGTGCGCGGACTCCGGCGGGAGACGGGGCTACGGGGCATGGAGCGCGGAATCAGGACGATGCAGCTGACGGAGGGTGGGAGCCGCCCGCACAAGGGGGGGGGGGGGGAGAGAATCCCCAGGGAGGACTTACGTCAGACGTGGGAGCTCGCGCTGAGGCGGCCCGACAGGCAGGAGCAGTGGGACGGGATGAGGGGGAAACACACGATGAGGAGGGGGCGGAGGTTAGGCTTCCCAGCGAGGAAGATGGGTCGGAGTCAGGGGGTCCGACCCCACCCGCGGGAGCAGTGGGAAACGATGATGAGGAAACACCCGAGGAAGAAGGGGGAGATGTTGGGAATCCCGGCGAGGAGGGTGGATCGGAGTCACAGCGTCGCTTGGGTGAGCGGCTGCGCTTGTGCATTGTTGACGGCGCCGAGATATACATTCTACTTTGTTGATGTTGGCTACCCCTCAGGGGCCACCCAAGCACCCGCATACCACAACACTGTCGTAAGGTTTCTTCTTCATACTTGTACTTTGCATGTTTGAGCAGCTGAATCCCGCCGAATTTACCTGACTGATCATCCTTTCCAAGACAACACAGTAGTATAGTGGGGACGGGAGAGACGTCATCGCCTACTTGGTAAAATGTATTCCCGAAAAATGATACGAGGTACTACCGAGCAACTTCTCCTGGCGCATTGATCGATTTCCTAGATAACTACGACGACGTTTGGGAGGAAGGCTCGCAGGACAGCGAAGGAGACGACGATTCGCTTGACGGTATGGATGATATCGGGATCGACCTCGACGGAGACTTGCTGGTGGACGACGAGCCTTAGTTATGTGCGTTGGTATCCGACCGTCAATATAACGCCGTTAGTTTAACGGCTTGTGCCTTGCGACAATTAAATTTAGCACATATCGTAGGAGAGGCTTTCTGTGTGCCATGCGCAGAAAACACAGCCCGGTTCATCATATGCCTCCCCTCCAACAACAAAAAACGGTATATTGCACCAACAACACTTCGAAAATACAACGGGTAGCCCGCATTTTTTTTGGCGCCTTATGCGTCCCCCCCAGCATTGTCAGGGATACCATGGCATTAGCCCGGGTTTCGTTAGGCGTTTTTTCCGCAAAACAGCTTACGCGAAGATTCCCCTTCCCGACTTTTCGGTGTCTCGGTCCGATATTATTCTCGCAGGTGAATGGTGGAACCCATTGCGTGACCCACGAAGATCTACCGTAACGGAGTGCAGCTGCATTCGGCTGTTGTGTTCTCCTCGTAGAAATGAGAATTGCCACAAGTGGTTTTCGGCCATGTGGGTTTGCTACGCAGCACAATTGCGTGTGTGTGGTACAGTCGAAGTCTACACTTCGGTGTCTGCGTCTTTTTTTTTTTGTGTGTGGTGCCAGGTTCAAAACAGTCCAGTTTTTTTTTTGGGCACACATGGGTTTGTGTAGTCGAAGTCAACACTTTGGTGTGTGTGTCTTTTTTTTTGTTGTGTGTGGTGCCAGGTTCAACACAGTGCACGTCTTTTTTGTTGGGCGCACATGTATGCGTGCGTGTGTCGTACACTCGAGGTCAACACTTTGGTGCATCCTGAGTCATTTTTTTTGTTAGGAGTGGTGCCAGGTTCAAGACATGTGCACGCGGATTTTTTTGGGCGCACTTCTATGCGTGCGTGTGTTCAACACACAGTGCACGTATTTTTTTTTTCTTGGCGCACATGTATGCGTGCGTGTTTCGTACACTCGAGGTCAACACTTTGGTGCATACCGAGTCTTTTTTTTTCTAGGGTGTGGTACCAGGTTCAAGACATGTGCACGCGTTTTTTTTTTGTTGGGGGGGGGGTATACAGCAGCAGTACAGTTTTTTTTGGCAGAGAACTAAAGATGGTACGTTACAATACAACGGCGGGTGGGCTGCGACCTTTTTTTTTTCAACGCTCCATGGGCAAATTTTAACCCGATGTAGCAAACATAGTAGTTCATTTGCGGTGCATTTCCAGAACAATGTCTGCCTTGTGGGCCACGAGTCGCACACGTATAGCGCACACATAGGCATGGCCATCCATCATGTGCATGCAGGTACACAAGGAAAAACAGGGTCAGCTGCTGTGCCATGGTTCTCCAGCCCAAAATTATTTCAAACGTCGGACGTCTTTCCCCCCCCAAAAAACAACAGGGACCACCAACACGTCAGGGCGGACAGGCGGGGCGTCGGTAGTAGCCCCGGGGAAGCAAACATGCAGACTTCCATTCAACTTACCCAGCATACATATACTGCTATGCCAATAATACCATAGTGCTATGCAACTTCACACAAGCACGTCTACTCTAGAGAGCTCCGTCAGGCAACGAGAAGCAAACAGCAGGCCCGCGGCCTCCTACCCCCCCCCGCCCCGTCTCCCATATAAACCATGCCTCAGTAGAGCTACACGCTCTTCCGCGGTACGTAGCGCGCGGGAGCACCACTATCCGGTCAGGCGCGTTTTCCTTTAGCCACCGCCCTCTGGTTTTGGTGGGCTCCAGAAACGTCAACCTCAGCTTGAAGGCCACTCCCATACGACCGACCCGCATCGCCTGTTTCAAAATGGTGGTGGCGTTCTTGTAGGGTGGGCTCGTCACGACCCAGTCCGGACGCCGCGTGTCCTCGACGTACGCCTCGACAAAAGCGTCTGTGGCGGCGTCCAGGTGGGTATCGGCCACCAAGCTAAGGGGAGGGGGGCAAAAAAAAAAACGAGCGCCGGCAAAAATGCATGTGGTGAAGCATTACATTCGCCATTTGATTCGCGGCCAGGTAAACATTGCTACGTGTGTGTTTGAGCATAGCCTATGCATACGAACTTTACGCCAAAATCTCGAAATCAAACACTGAAAAAAACCGCAGTGCTTGGTGACATCGAAGTCGGTCTGAGACACACAACACACATACCACCCATTCAAGTCGTTCGTGGCGACACGGAGACCGTGTGAACTCAGGACCGTCTTCACTGCGTCTTGGGCCGAGCCACAACAATCCAGTACGCTGCCTTGCAGATCCATGTGTTCCAGAAGAGCTCGCACCTGAAAATTGCGAAAGCAAAATCGTTCGTACTTAATATTTCTTCATTTTGTTAGGTGTTACCTGGCAGAGGGAGTATGCTGGCATGCTGGCAGCATAAATATGTTTGTTTCCACCCTCCTCGCGGGCGCTCTACATATCTTTTGCCGTTGACTTGTGGGGGTGGGGTCGACTCCCTCTCTCCTGCCACGAGACTCTTCGACCAACACGGGCAGGACAGACAACGATGCACGACCACAGCATCCTCTTACTTACCATTTTCTTATGTGAGAACCAAAACAAAGGAAAAGGGAACAATGCCACTCGAGAAATAAGGAGTAAGGCGAGGGCTACCGATGCAAGGTTGAGAGATGGGACGTCCACCACTCGGTAGAATACTACACCATCAACAGCACATGGTGACGGTCGCGATCCCAGAAACTCACATACATATCTACGTAGTCACGTGGGAACGTAGAAAGGATAACTTGACCAGAAAAAATAGAACGGGGTGAAAGTTTTCACGGGGGTCAACGTTGTCGCGTCTTCCTACAATTTCAACGTTCTAGAGTTCGCCCAGATCGATGCATATGACAGGACGCATGAGTCACCTACACCGCCGCACTAAAGGTGGTGTTTCTGCGGTGTCATACCTGGGAGCCCGTCGACGGGTACCTGCCCATCGGCGACCGCTGCCCAATCACCATGGTGTGCAAAGCTCCTTTCTCTTCCCTCTGGCGCCTCCCCTTGTACCTTTGGTACAAATTAACCACACAGTCGGCGCGGCGACAGATGCACTCTCCCGCCTTGAGAGGGTCTCCTACAAGGTCGCGCTCATGAGTCCACCCTTCCCCTACCGTTGCAGACCACTCGCCCAGCTCCGCCCAGTATTCGGAGTCCACCACGTGCTGCCAATTGGTCGAGCACCCGTCGCGGCTACCGGGGCGGTCACATGCGAAGCATCGCCGAAGCTCCCCTGCCGCTGCCGGTTCTTTGCCGTGCACCACTTTGCCACACGAGGCGCGGCGCTGCCGGACCATCCTGGAAAAACCGAAAAAACCGTTGAAAATGGCGGTATATAGCTGCTGGCCGAATCGCCGGTATTGGCGTCTACAATTGGTAATCCTCGATGCTGTTTCAGCCTGAGCAAGTACAGACCCTGACCTATACGACGCACCCGCTGAGACCGCAAGATTCTCCTCGTAAGGCAAACCTGGGCCTGGTGCCGCTGCTGCACCGACTGCACCGAGATGCTCCGCGTGTTGAAGCCCTGCTGAGGCCCTCTTGCGAGGTAGCTTCGGTTTGAAGCACAGATAGCTACCGAACGCCCAAAACTTGCACCAGCACCTCAAGTGTGAGTGTGACAACAGTATACCGAGGTTCGATTATGCCTGTTGGCGACGACGAGGCTCCTACGGCTCTGTGAACACGCAGCCTGCTGTGGCATGCAGCCTGCTGCCCAGGGGGCTTTTGAGGGGGGGTCAAAAAGAAAACAGGATACCATCTGCGAGTGCCCGGCGTACCTGTTTAGCCGCCTTGACCAGTGTTACGTCGGGCCTTGTGGACCGATTCGCGTCGTTTCTTCTCCTCTACCCTTCAGCAGTGCACCTTCTAGCGGATCGTCTCTTCTGCGACACCAACCGCGCGGTGGGCGTCTCGTACTGACGGAGCAAGGACCAATAAAAAAACAAAAAAATTATAAACCAAATAACACTGGCACGGCAAACAGGTCGGTCAGTGCCATCAGTTGTTGTGTTGCGGTTCTTGATGTTGCTCCGGGGTTGCTCGAGTCGCAACAACAAGTGACTGTGGTGTTCAGGGATTGCATCGAGCGTGAAGAGCCACATGGTCTTAGCTCCTTTGCGATGGATGATTCAGAACAGCATGACGAGCATCGTCAAAAGGAACAGCGTCAACGTCAACCTCCGGCGAGGACTTGCCGGCTGCCGGACGATGTCGTTGAGCAAATCCTATGCCTGCTTCCCGTTGAACAAATACTCCGCTGCGGGCGCACGTCCCGAGCGTTCTCGAGGGCATCGCTAGCCGCTCTACAAGGTGCTACCTGGGCACCTGATCCTGCTGTCGCTGTCGGCGCTGATGACGGTGCAGTGCGGTGCGGCACGCATGGTCACACCCACTGTTGTCGCATTGCAAGCGACAGCGGCACCCACACCGACAGCTTTGTCGTCGGGACGCCATGCCTCGACCTGCGGTCCGCCGCAGATGCAGTGGATTGTCGAGCCCTATCGGTGATGCTGCGGAGAGGTTTTGGCAAACTGGAGGAGTCGAGCACTGCTGACGGTGGCGACGGCGCAGAGACTAACGATCACTCGGGTGCATCCGCGACCAGTGGGAAGAAGTGCATCTTGAGGGGGCTAGCTGTGTGCAGCGCTGCGGTGCAGGACCAGGTACGATATTGTGTCAGCGGTGTTGGGCGCGTTGTTGGTGATGAGCACTTGAGTGGTGTGTCCTCAAGCAGCTTCTGCCCGGCGGAGGAATCCGATTTTTCAAATAGGAACCAATCTGAACAGTGGAAACAGCTGGTGGGAAACACCAAGTTGATGGTAACGTCGTAACGTCTACATAAAAATCTGCTCTCAAACACACAAATCAGCCATCTGCTATGTCTCTTCACGCTGTAGTCTTTGAGTCCCGGGACGAAACCTGTACTTCAGCGCTTGTGCATGCTACTTGTCATCTCAGGCAATAGCTCGGGCTCTCGAGATGCACGGGGAAGGCCTCCAAGTCCTTGACCTCGCCGGCTGCCGCGGTCTGGACACGTCATTGACGATGGAGGCGGTGCGGTCGCGGTGCAAACGCCTCGTCGCCTTGGACCTGTCCGGAGGGAGATCTTTCGAGGGCAAGGGGCGCGGAGAGATAGGATGCAACCCTTCCGTGGCGACGCCGAGGTGTGCGGTAGGCGGGACGTCATTTGAGGGGGAAGTTGGATTGGGTCTCAACCGGCGTCACCCGAGTTGCAGCCCATCGGTGGCCAGTCTTTCGATTCCGGTGAGTCCAGCGCGCGAGTCCTATATCGGTGAATAGAATAGCAGCGGAATCAAGAGAGAGAGAGAGAGAGAGAGAGAAAGAGAGAGAGAGAGGGAGAAGAGAGAAGAGAGAAAGAGCGGGAGAGCACAAATTGTCTTGACGCGCTTGAGCTGAGGATACAGACTAGACCTGCCTGACCGCGTTGTTGGCCCCCTTCGTACGACAGCACACCGACCCACATCGCACAGAGCGTAGTACAGCGGGTTGGGGCTAATGCTTTGCTTTGCCCCCCTCTCGCCGCTGTGGCGATGCTGGCGGACTGCTCCCGCCGAAAATGACCAGTCTATGCGTGCATCAACACTAACAATGACAGCAACGTCCTTTGATGCTGTCAGGAGAACAACCACCACCGACTGCGTGACTACCATCTGGTTTCGCTGCTGACCGGGCTTGGCGGCACACTTTTGTCCCTGCAGCTACGGGATCGGCCGTTCATAACTGACCACGGAATCTGGGCCATCGCAGTCGCTTGCACGCAGCTGCAGGAGTTGGACATCGGGTGAGCAACCGAGCGTTGATGCAACAATCGACCGGGCTATGTTGTTATTGGTGAACACACACAAAGTGGTCAGAATGGTTGTTTGATTCGATACTAGGGGGAACGATTGGCCCCCCACCCCCCAGTGGGGCGGGCGGCCAGTATGCGTGGGATGGGTGCGGCGGTTTGAAAGTTAGAGCGACTAGAGGCAATGACGACACCCGTACGAAAGAAGGGTAAGTTTTGGATCCGACGTGGGTCCACACTATTGACTATTGTACGTCCGTTGTGTAGATAGTCGTATGTTCTTAGTGGTACTGTTTCGAATGTACATTCGGTCGATGCACCCACCCCTGAATCAGCGACAGACAACGATGCGTACACATTGCTGCAGGCCAAGAGCGACCAATCTCGTCGTACGTACGAAGCGTTGGGAGCGATTCTTGAAACCAATTGTCCTCTGCTAGCAGTTGCTAGCAGCATACAAGCGAGGGAAGCAAGATGTCCACGTCCACACGGCAGCACCAGCAGCAGCAAGTACAGCAGCCGTAGCTGATTGATGATGAATGAGAGTTGTTTTTCGTTCACGCCAATCAACAGTCAAAGTCGTTCCCGCGCTGCTACGCAGCAGAGAGGTCTGCATACACGTGTACAGCAGTGGCAATGGTGACCTCTGTGTGATTGTTTAGGCCCCAACCACATCTATGTACCGTATGTAATTGGGCCCTCTCGGGGGGGTACCTAGGCTTGGCTACCACATAGAGGTACATGTAGCATCCACTCAAGCTCCAGCTCGACGCCTCACAGCGCAGCAGCAGGGGAATTACAGCAGCCCTGCTCTACGTATCGAGACGAAAAACTTAGCGGGCCCGGCCGGCCTCCCACCGGACCCCGTTCGCCCTCCCACTCCGCGGAGCCCGGGTGACGCCCTCTCTCCGCAAGACCCTGCCGTCGCAGGCTCAGGCGCACCGTGCACGGCGAGCTGCCCGCATCGCCACGGAGTCGTTCGCAACTGTGTATGTCTGTCTGTCTCTGCTGTTGTTCTGATAAGATCAAGATTACGAATCGCGACGGTGATTGGATGAGACACTACGTTGTTCCGCTCGGAACCAACATATTTTGTGTTGCGTAGAGAGCGTTTCTGTTTTTTGGTGCGTGTCTTCCATCAAGCCTACATGCACCCCGTCAGCCACTGCTAAGTGTAGTGTTTCTTGCACCCACATCGATCTTCATATCTATCTCGGACACGCAGCGCGATTGATGCGAATCTGTGGGTCCTTCAATGCGTGAGAAGCTTTGTCTACCCATCACCAGTCAATGCTGTCAAGTTGTTGGATGTTTCAGGATTGTTTTTTGAGCGAAGAAATGGTATTTGCTTTGAGGGTCGGCGAGTACCTTCCTGTTCACTCTTCGTTCCATCATCGGTGTTTTTTTTGTGAGGAACGCGTCAAACACATCATCGCATCATTTTTCGGGATAGATAACAGCTCCATCTGCTACGTCTGTCTGCGGCAGATATTCACATCTTTCCAGTACCGACCGGTCGCCCCGGTGGTCTAGTGGTATCCTCGTATTCCCCTAGTCGCAGAGGTCGTCAGTTCGAATCCCCACGTGGTGAAAAATTTACGACATATGCGGGTGAAAGCGAAATATAGCTAGAAAGCTCTCGTGAGTACCAAACTTCGACGTTAGCACCTTTGCCTAGGGAAAGATCGTCCCTGGACCCTTCTCGCGATAAAGAAAAAAAACAGCACGCACCGCAGGAGGAAGGTGGGGCATGAAAAGAAATAAAAAGAAGAAAAAAGCCCTGGTATTTACCCCCTCCTGTGTGACCCTGGAAGGCTGTAGTAAGAAAAAATACACTGAAAGTGTAGCACTCTACATACGCTGACAAGTATAGTACATCTCACCACGAAAAATGGGGGGATTGTCGCCATACTAAATAGGACGAAAACACACACACGCACACAACCAGGAAGGAGCAGTCACTTGGTATGCATGTGATACTTCTCATCAACGTTCGTGTTCACCTTACACGGAGAGCGGCGGAGCAAACGAAGGACGTGGGGGGCGGTAGCCCCGCGTCCTGAGCTCTTGTACTGGTATACTACCTTCCCTATAAGACATGCATCACGACCACCGAAGAAAAGGACGAAAATGCTTGGGGTGGACATGGACAGCTAGACAACTGGAAGGGAGACTTGGGCGAATCAAAGTCGTTCGCGTAGTTTTCAGCAGCAGCAACAAACCCATGGCACATGTTGACGCAAGGTCGCGCGTCATGGATGGTGGGGCCCGCACCGATGGTCCGGCACGCTCTTTTGGACGCTGCTCATTGTCGTGTATGTACCGGTCTCGCCTTGGTGGAATTGCTTGCTAAGATGAATACAGCGGTAGACTGTCGTATGAAACGTATGGATGATGTTGTTCAGATGATGTTGCTGCTGTAGAAACACGTATACTTTCGAAGGGCCGGAAACAGTTCAGAGAAGCAGGAGTAGTTAGATATACTACTATGTGGTTGGGGCCTAAACCATCACACGGAGGTCACCATTGCCACGGTACATGTGTATGCAGGACTCCCTGCTGTGCAGCAACGCGGGAGGAACGAGTTCGACTGTTGTTTGATGGTGTGAACAAAAAATGGCTCTAACCCATCATCAATCAGCTACTACTGCTGTACTTGTTGCTGCTGGTGCTGCCGTGCGGACGTGCATTTCTACTTCTCTCGCGTATATGCTGCTAGCAGAAGGCATTTAGTTCCAAGAATCGTTTCCGACGCCTCGTACGTATGATGCATTTGGGCGCACTTGGTATACAGCATGTATATCCGTCGTCAATTGTTCGTCTCTGTTTCAGGAGTGGGTGCATCAACCGAATGTATCGGAAACAGTGCAGCTACGAAACACAATCATGACTGCGGGTGCCTGTGCTAAGACTTGTCTGCAGCAGCAGCGTTTCACTTGGCCCGGTGGCGTCGCATTGAAGTGCCCTTCGTTCGGTCGCAAGAGGGATTCCATGAAGATAGTCTAGTTTTCCGTCGATCCACGACCCACCAAAAACCAAGTTGAGCACCCATGAATTTTCCCAAACTAGAACTTCGAAACGTATGACGACACGACCGCAATCCTGTGAGTATAAATATAACATGATAAGAATCGTACAATATGCGGGAGAAGCGTAGAGAGACACAACGCGCCTCTCACACCCGGGTGAAAAAGGTAGTTGAACACGGCGCCATGTATCCAGGGTTGGCTCTATGTTGACAAGGACACCCCATCGCTTCGATTTGCTGCGTCTTCGAAAGTACGATTGTTGGTGAGATTGTTGCCAACGTTTCCAGGAACGCCGGCATGCGCTTGAGTGACGTTAAAATGCTGGCAAGTATTGTGTCGATCTTTTATCTTCCCCCGCTCGCCTCCGTCAACGTCTGGTCGTCGTCAGCCGGCGGACTGGTCACACAGTAAGCAGAATGATGCGAACAGGTAGTATCACCGGCCAGGCTCTGACGACTCTTTCTGCTGCGCCGTGCGCGCCGCTGCTGGTGTGCCTCGGGCTTCGAAATCTGCACTGCGTCGGGAACATGGACCTGCGAGCCCTGGGCACCCACTTCCCTAGCTTGAGGAGGCTCGACCTGGCAGGGCTCGTCAAGGTGGACGACGACGTTCTCAGGGCTCTCTCGTCGACGCTGTCCCTCACGCACATAGATATATCCAGGTAAACGCACTGCAGTGGGGGTCTCAGTTTAGCGACCCCCGGATTAGCGACATGCCTTGTTTAGCGCCTACAAAATCACGTCGCACCCCCGCACCCCGGCGCAGCTGCTATGTTGTTGGTAGTTCGGTTTTGCGACCTGCCCTGAATAGCGACCACATTTCGTCGTGACACTAGGGGTCATTTAACCAGGGCCCCCACTGTACACGAGTTCCCACGTATTTAAATCATCCATCCCTTCACGCACACGCTCGGAGGTTTCACAGCAAGATGAGGGATGGATATGCTTCATCGGCATTACCCCAAGTCGCGTTATTCATGGCATGCAGAATGTGAGAATATTCAGCGTGTGGCATTCGGTCCGTCGTCCTTCCTTCGCCGCAAGGCATCCGCGTGAACCGTTACTGTCCCTACCGACCCCCAATTGTCACATACCCTCTCACGGTGCCCCCCAACACTTGTGCGGCGCAGAGCACACCGCGTTTCTGTAAGCGGAGTGTCAGCGCTGGCCGTAGGGAGCCCGGAGCTGGCATGCATCTCACTGCACGGAATTGCTCTGGTGGACGAGGCCGTTCGAGCGCTGTGCGACGCCTGCCCCAGGCTCCGACACATCAACTTGTCCTTAACGCGCGTGACGGAGCGGTCCCTCCGCCTTCTCGCCACGAAGGATAGCTTGAGGTGTGCCTTTCTTGAACCGGCATTGACGGCGCTGTTCGGCTGGGTAAATGAATAGGCGTACGGCTTCTCTGGACTCGTTTTTTTTTCGTTTGTAAGCATGTGTTATTGTCACACTGTACTCGGGAGGTGTCCTGTCTTTCGGCAGGATATCGTTAGACCTACCCACACAAAGTACTTTGCGATAAGCGCTTGTTTGCCTGCTTGGACATGATTCTTCCTGTCTTTAGCCTAGGATGCTTTGCACTCTGTCCCTCCCTCCCACCCCCGTTTGAATTGAAGATGCGTCGCTGATCCCCTCCCTTCTTGGCTGCCCCTCACGCCACGTCGCCACCGCTCGCTCAGATGGGTCAATGTTCGTTGCTGCAGCGGTATTGGTAACGACGCCGTTACTGCCAAGGTCTTGGCGGACTTCCGAAGTCGCTTGTCGCCACCCAAGCACCCGAGAGACCGTGGAACGGTCCTAGGAATGGAGCGCCCCGAGCCTCAGTCGAGGACGCCCGCACCAAGCTGCTCCCGCCGCGAACCTCTCGGTGCCAACAGCTCCGGCGGTAGCCTAGACAGCGGCTGCGGCGGCTACCAAGGTCCACCGGACGACGTTGGGCAGGATTTGGCTATTCGCGCGCAGGCGGCGCTTGCCCTCAGGGTGTCGTCACCCAGTAGTGACCGGTTACACCAATTAGCGCCAGGAAACGGCGGCGGTGGTGGTGGCACGAAAACCGCCTCCTCTGATGTTGAATATTGTAACGGTAGCATCGTTCGTGGTGACGCCCCGATAGATCCCAACGGTAAGGCCGGTGGCGCGACAAAGGGTGGACGGGCGCCGCCCTCTGCTGAAGGAGGTTATACCCGGCGTCTTGACACACCAGGGGCAGCGCTAGTGAGTTTCGGGGAGGGGGGGGAGATTGCGCCGCGGCCGTCGTGCAGGAGACCCGGCGGCATCAGAGCTTCACCGGCGAAGCCTACTCCTGCTGAGAGGCTTGCTGGAGATTCGAGCCAGGGGACGACGTTATCACCAGTGGCTCCGTTGCTGTTGGCATCGACTTCGCCCGCGCCGGTGGACCTCGACACTGGCGAGCGCGGCAAGGGCCGGCGAGGGGCCGCGATTCGACAAGAAGGGAAAGGGCACGCGCTAGCGGAAGAAGCTTCAGCGGCACAATCGACAGCAGCCGAAGAAGAAGCAGTACCGTCGCTCGCTGGCGAACCAGCCGGTGCGTCGTCCCGCGACCATCCGCCGCCGTTGCTCCCGACGGGTGTCGGCGACCTCTCACTAGGCCGGCATCGTCGCCATGGCGAAAGCCGTGGTTCGCCTTCGAGCGAAGGAACAAAAAGAGGAGAAGGTTCCACTGGCACGGGATTTCAGGACGGAGGGCGCGGCGTTGCGAAGGGTCGAGGTGGTGGTGGAGACCGCAGAGTCGAGGTGCGAATCGATGGAGTCGTTGGTTCTACTTTTGGTGTGTCTCCAGTGCTGCTGTAGGGTTGCTGTTCTCGCCGACTGTGTACCGCACTCCTAGAAACGGCTGGTAATATTTTCCCGCGCTCGTTGTGAAATTTTTTGCGGGTATTCCACCTGGAGTGTCTGCCTCTTTGCCAACTCGCGGCTGGGGGACCATTGTATCTCTCTCTCTTTTGAGAATTGGAGGGGATTGTTTGAATACCGACCCGCTGGAGGTGATGCCACTGGTGAAATCTCACACCACCCAGCAACAAGACTAGTCTCGAAGATTCCGACACGAAATCTCGGAGAGCTGTCGTCTAGCGGAGAATCTTGGTCTTCTTTCAAGGCTCATTTCAAAAAGTCATATGCCCAAGATCTGGCCGACCTGTGATACGCGGATGTCCATGCTTTTTATTTTACTGCAGTTACATGGTGTGGGCACTCCCAACAAACCCGTCTGTCCGTTGCTATCGATCATGTTCGTTTGGTCACCAGAGCTGAGCACGCAGGCTCGACACGATCGCGTGCAGAGCTCTCAAACGTTGGGGAGTGGTGGTCTTGGTAGCAACAATAGCTCTCGGAGTGACACCGGTTCGCGTGGTCAGTGGTCTCGACACCACCCGGCCCGACACACGACTCCCCCTCCCTGCCTCGCTGTGAAAGGGATACATGCTCTATCTTCTCAACTTACTATAGCTGGCCTACTACCGATTCCGCTCCCCCCCTTTTGTAGGGAGAAGTGGTGGTGCCGTTCGACTGGGACACCGTCCCCCGAGGCAGCGGGGTGGGAGTTCTCGGGTCTTGGAAGGGATTCCGCGGCCTATCGGGGGACCTGGTGAAGAACGTCATTCGAGAGCTGCACCCCCACGCTCAGGTCGAGTTCCGTCCCGGGTACGACGTCGTGTTCGGGCCCCACTCGCGCACGAATACCCACGGCTACCTGGTGAGGTCCTGTCTCCGCCCGTTGCGAGACATGGTGTTGTTTGAAAATTCAAAGGAGTGCTTGCGATTGCGGGTGGTGCTGTTGGTTCTCGCGTTTCATCGCCGAGGTGTCCGCCGACCAACTCGTACGTAGCCCCGCGAGCATGGCGCAGGTCGCGAAATCGAGAGCTGCCCAGCCTGTGATCTAGATGATTTTGTCCTAGCCTTCCCTGCGAGATTGCCTCACCGGCCCGTCACGACTCTGGTTGGGATGGCTTTTGCTCGAGTCAAGGTGGTTCGAATGCCGGGCGTTGAGAGTCTCGCTAGATGGCCAGACCGACCTTAAGTTTGAGGGACAGCACCGACGAAATACCAGCGTTGACAGCGACAACATGAACAACAACTGGCGAGAGATGTCGGGAAATTCTGCGCGTCTTCTGAGAGAGAACTTGGTTCCGTGACGACGTGTTGGCGAGAGAGAGCAAAACTAGGATGCACACGAGTGGAATGGCCTCACGGTGTACGTTCGAAGCGCCCTTTGGCATGAACTCGAGTACACTTGCAGCAGTAGGGATCAGCACGAATGGCCCTTCTCGGACTTTGGGCCGGTTGACCACCATCAATAGCACGCCGTAACAACGAAGGGCGTACAAACCTCGGGTACAACTCGAACTGGGTTGGCTATTCCGCTTCTCGGCGGGATGCGACTAAGAGTGTTTAATGCCTCCAAAGGTTCAATACATCGCTCACCCTGTTCTCTCTTATTTCGTCGCTCCCTTGATTGCCCCGTTTCCCGCGGCGCCGGACCGTACCTCGCGGCACGGCACGCTATCAAACGCCGCACTTTCCGTCCAAAACAGGTCCACACGAGCAAGTTTGGGCAGGCGTGGGTGGAGTTCGAAGTGGATGGCCAGGGATGTGTTACTTGAGGTGTACAAACATCTGGTTTCGAACGAGCCGAGTCGGTGGGGCAGCGAAGGGATAGAGGGGTATCGGGTACGGAGTTACTCTTTGTTACTTGTAGAAACTTTTGGTGTTGGTGCTGCTTCAAGTGGTGGTGGTGGCGGTGTCGTCGTCGTTGGCCGGGAATGCCAGTCAGTGTACCAGTGTATATCTGTCTGTCATTGTGCGCAACTACCACCATTCGGACGAACGTAGACCAGGGAGCATGTTTCTTTCTCGGGAACGAGAAGGGGGAGGTGGGGGGTGATCCTGGCTTGCTCGACTGGGCGCTGCCATCATCGTATGGGTATCTCTTGATGCGTAGAATGCTAACCACGAGGCTCGTCAACCGAATCTATCGAGTGCGGAATACCGTGAACAAGCATGCATGTGTGAGTACAAGCAGCGCATGTGACGAACTATTGACGCCTTGCAAGTAATAATGTCTTACTGCACACCTTCACCTGTACTACGCTACCATGGATCCCTCCGGAGTGGGCTCGTGAAGGCACAGTGTCATTATCTTGGAAGATGAGGAAGGAAGCTCGAAAAAGTGGCTGCCAGGGGTGACGACTTTCCAAACTCGAACAGCCTACACAGCTGACGACTTTGTTCGCCTCGAAGGGCGAAGAGCCCAGCGGACCACACCGCATCCATCTCAACAAGAACAACGAGCAAATGTTCATGTCTTTCTGTGGTTGGTTGTATTTTGATCCAAATAAGAACAACGAACAAGTCTTTAATGCAATCTCTCTCATGTTCAGTGTAAATGACCGTAGGTCAGAGAGTACGATGCTCGGCTTGCATCCAAAAAATGAGTCGTGTGGCCGATGCATTCCACCTACCGTATGGCACCGCGCAAGGCCACCGGCGGACAAGAATATTTGTGTTTTTCTTTTGCTGTCCAGGAAAAGTAGCAGTCGGTCCTTCAACAAACCTCGACCGTCTTCAGTTCGTGGTGAACATCACCTGTAGCCTCGACGGCCGGCACGCGACACTTTACACGCGCCGTCGATCGCACAAAAACATGTGCAAGAGGTTTTGCGCTCCTTCTGAAAAGGGAAACAGCCAAGGTTGATGTCGATAGAAGAGCAGAGGGCAGTCATATACAACAGCTCGATCTACTCCGATGTACATCAGATAGATCCAGTTGATCTTGTCAACAGAGGTTCTCTCGTTGCCTCTGCTGATGCGCATTCCTTTCCGGACTTGGGGCATTTTCGTTTCTTTCATAATGGTGGTGGGGAAACCCACCGGGTGTTTTTTTGTTCGTGAACTTCGATTTCGAAGCCACTTTTTTTTCAATACTTTCTTATTTCAAAGGGTGCAGAAGCGACAAGAGACCTGCAGCCCACAATATACCCCTACTTACTTTCTACCAGTCTCCACCTACACCATAGTACCGCATACATAAATACCAATATCTCCAGAAAGAAAACACACACACACGCATGCGTTCCGCCGGAATGATCTAACGAACCAGGCTGGCATTGGGGACGCATCCATCATCCACAACAAGCGAGCCACGCAGTGCCGCTGCTTTGCTAGACCCTGCTACTGCTAAGATCTACACCGCGAGCTGAAAATATAGCGCTCAATTTGCATACCAGAACGACTGATAGATACGTCCCACCAATCTCGGAACAAGCACTCGGAAACCCTGCTGCCTGAACCAGCACAACATGGGTCAAGCCCACAACTCTCCAAGCTTCACATGTCCCGTTGCCTGCTTGCAGCAATACGCTATCACGCAGGACGCCTCTCACACGAAGCCGCCCAGGCGGCAACGAGCTACCTTCATACTTGCCAAACGAACATACGCAGTCATACAAACAAAGCAAAAACAAAGCTGCAGAAGAGCAGAAGCCTTATCAAAGAACGCACGACGTCCCCCACACTGGGTCCGGTCTAGTGGTACGTCCTTTATTCCTCGTATCAGTTTTCCCGAGGAAGCCCTCTGCCCAATTGCAAAAACTACAACCCATCAACCCATCAAGCAAACTTCGCAAGACGCGGACAGTACTCTCGATCGCTCTACATCGCCACACTTCGCCAAGCGGCTGCCCTGTCGCAACCCTCTACCTCAGGGCAATATACCGATGAATCAGCAACCTGTAGATTTATCTCAACTTTTTCAGCAGGGTTGCATCGGCATCATCGGCGGTGGCTGGTGGTGCTCCTGCGCGTTGTTGTTGCCGTCGGGGCTGTCTTCGTGGAACCGCCCGCGGGGGGGCGATCCGGGTGGCGGTCCGGCCGGCCCGTGAGTCGCCATGAAGTCATCTCCTTCGCTGTCCAGATGGCTCTTGCCGTGGTGTCCGCTGCGCCCGTCTCTTCCTCCGCCATCACGAGGGTGGCCGTGGGGAGGAGGGTGGGCGCGAGGGTCGACGCACATCTCCGTGCCGTCTTCTTCCTCGCTCCCGCTGCTTTCTACATCGTCGCGGTGGTGGTGGTGGCCGGGTCCGTGGTGAAGGTGCATCTCGCGGTCGTGCATGGGCATGCCGTGGGGAGGCGGACCGCCTTGTTGCCGGCGTAGGTGCGGGGGCGGTGGCATTCCGTGGGGAGGGCCACGTGGCCTGGTGTGCATCGCCATTTCTTCCTGTTCTACGTCACTCTCGCCGCCGCCGTGGTGGTGGTGGTGGTGGCCTGGTCCGTGGAGGGGTCGACCGCTTTCATGGAACGGTCCGGGGGGCGGTTCGTGGACAGGGCCTGACGAGTGGAGGTGATCACCGTGGGCACGACGCTTCCCGTGGCCGTGGACGTGGCGGTGCGGCGGAGGGCCATAGGGAGGCGGGCCGCGAGGCCTACCCATACCTCTGCCGCCGCGGTGGTGGTGGTGGCCACGACCTCCAGGGCCTCCAGGGTGACCATGCCGCAAGTGAGAAGGACCACCCCGCCTGCCTCCAGGCCTGGACCGCCGAAGCTCCTCCCGTTGAACGAGCCCGAGCTTGACTAGCCGGTGAGGTCCTACGCCAAGGGCACGGAGCAACGGCCTGGTTTCACGCGGGCGGAGTGTGATGCCTGCGGCAACCAAGGCCGCATGGACGGGGTGCTTGCTTCTTTTGTTGGTCTCGAAGCCGAGGCTGTTGTGCTTGCGGATGTTGTCGTGCTCGGTGTCGCCGCTGTCGCTGCTGTTGCTGTTCGAGTCGTCCGAGACCTGGTTGTCGTCCGCTTGCTCTGGCTCGACTTCGGATCCGCTGCTGCCGCTGCTGTCGGTGGTGTCCGCGTGAGCGTCAGCTGCTGAAAATCCCTTCAGGAGCTTCTCTGGGGCAAGTCCCTGCACCACGAGGCGGCCGGGGCGGAGGCGAAGCAGGACCATGGTCTTCTCCAGGTTGTCTGCTGTCATGGAGGGGACGCCGTGGTACTCGCGAAGGTTCCGGGCTGTCGCCTTGTACAGGAGAGTGCCGTTGTTGCTGCTGTCCATCGTTTCGTTGTTCATCGCGTTGTTGCTGGTGGTGTTGATGCTGACCATCTTATAAGTAAGAGGAGGTGGGAGGTGGGAGGTGGGAGAGGGGGGTGAGCCGGCGAGATGCGGCGTAATTTCTTCTGAACGGTCGTCGTTCTGGAGATTCTTTGAGGAACCTGAGAACCGTTCTTCAGGATATTCGAAATTCGAACATTTTCGAATTTGAGGTGGATCCGTATGCGGACGGGGCGGTCTCGTACGCGGACGCCGAGGGCGGTCTCTTTAGTGGGGACGATGCTTATTTGCGTCTCAGGTTACATCTCAAATGGTTGGATTCTCGACTAGGGAGGCCGGGGATGGTTCGTGCTTGGCACTCCTCATCATTTTGTCCTTTGATTTATCGCTCGGTTGTGAAAAGCACCATTCTCATTGCTTTCGTGGTTCTCCGGAAGCTATAGCCTAATAGGTCTAAGCTTCATGTAGTCTCTTTTGCAAAGACGTTCACACAGCAAATCAACTCTATCCACAGATAGATGAGTACGGGATAAATTAGCGATGGATCCATGGCGCTAGCGACGCACTATCAGCGTTTCCACGGTTCCCCGAGCAGCACACATCGATTCTTCCCCTGTGGGCAGCAGGCTCTGCCAGGACAGTTTTTGGTGTTCGCACACATCGTTTTATTTTCGACAGAGACAACGACGACACAACGGCAAAATTTCAAAATTCTGCTTTTTGTGCATAGTCTATGTATGCAATGTACAGACTACAGCCTACGTTCGAGGAAACACACAGCAGCGTCTGTGTGCGATTAGTGCAGTCTAGATATTATCACGATGTGACATAATTACACTTACGCTTTGCCTGACTATTGTGCAAATGCAGAACCTAATCAATACCCCGGTCGGGCAACAACGTGACGCCATGCAAGCAAAACCAAAACAAGGAATATGTTACCTACTATTCCAACTGCTTGGTGATACCGATGAAGAAAAGTGCCCAAATAACCTGTTAGTCCTGAAAAACAATCACGGTTCGCCGGCACATCCCTATTCCCTCCACCCGCCTGCATCCTCCCGAGGGATGGGGTATCACCAACGACGTGAACGCTCCGACTTTACTGCGTCTCGATGTCCGAGTACACTACTCCCACAGCCACGCCTAGTACGTACGTACGGGTCTACCACAACGACCTACAGAGATCAAGATGACTGAGCAGCGCCAGCACCAGCGCCAGCACCAGCTAAACGCCTAAGTTTCCTTGAAGTTTTCATGCCCTCCATGGGCGCCATGCTGCCCCACTTGGTCCCCCAGCGTGGGTGCGCAACCAAGGGGACGGAAAGTGAGCACGCGCCTTCCATGCAAGCCTTGACGATCTGTGCCACCTCGGCCACGTGTGGTTCCAACACCTGGTAGGTTGGGTTTGAGGGGTTGGTTGTCGTTGAAACGCTGTTCTGTGGCTGTTGGTTGATTGGTTGGCGTGAGATGACTGACAACGCTCGAAACTCTTCTCTGCGCTACGCATCAGTCACGTTGTTGATTGGAACACGACCAAGAATCCATCAAGACGGGGAGCGATGACAATCAGCCTCCTTTCTATATGTCGGGGAGGGGGAAGGGGGGCGGGGGTTCGACGAGGTCTTGTTGTTCCAATAGACACCCTACCTAGCGATCAGATTGCATTGATTGTTGGTGTTGGTGGGCAACAACGGTGTCCCGCGCAAAAACATTAAAGGCTTGGCCCTTGGGGTCTTTTCAGCGGATGCGCGGTTTTGCAACAACTTGTCCCACGCTTTGCCCGTAGGGGCCAACGATGTCTTGGAGTCGTCTCTAGTCGTCTTAACATTACCGGTGTGGTTGCTCCAATGCTATGATTGAGCTCCAGATGAAGGATGGACCGATTATCAATAATACGTCACCGTATGCACACAGTAACAACGCTATTGAATAACGAAGCTGAATGCGAGATACCCATCAAATGTCAATCGATGCGGGATGAGTGGGAGGTTTGATGAACGAAAAGCTTGCTTTATCCAGTCTGCCACAAGGAACACAGAAACGTATCAAGTTCACAGCGGCTGGGGTTTAATGTGGAAGCAGACAACATAGGACCCGGCGAGGTGTACTCCACACCACTACTATTCTCGCGTNTTGGGTTTTCGTCGCTTGGCAAGGACGTTGTAAAACAAGCCGATCACTTCGTGAGCTCAGCAACCAGGTTACTGCTTTGTTATTTTGCCTTCGTTCTCTTTTGCGGTATGAATAGTTGTCGAGTATGTTGTGCGGGGTCGTGAACCCTCACTCCGCGCAATGGGGATAGTCGCACGTTGCGTTACATTGGTCAAGCAACCTCGAGGCAGTTACATAGCGCTTACAAATGCCTCTGGAAGTGAAAGCACCAGAAAATAAATTAAGTCATACGCAGCTGTCATCCGTACGCAAGGAAGTAAGCACAAGATGCCGAACACCTTTAGCAGGATGCAGCGCACCCTTCATGTCATGTTGAATACCTCACGACGCTTCGCGCTTGGTGATGTGAGCGCCTGTTCCGGTGCGAACCCGGCGTGCCCCGTCCCGGCTTTGTAGGGACGCGAGGTCAATGGTCTAACGACTACGGCATGCACGACTATGAGTACCCACACACACACACACATGAAGACTGCAACGGACTATGGCCACACCAGTTTATCTCATTCGCATCGACCAACGCACATTACATACAATGCAAAACGAACGCCGGGCAGTATCGTACTTCTATGCTGGTCGTAACAGCCCCACGCACCTCGTACAGCAGTTCGTCATGGATGCTCAGGACCAAGCGGCACGCCGGACGTCTCGCCAGCTCAGATCGACCACCGTCTCGCGGAAACCGACAAGGAACAGTGGCATCAGCAGTGCCAGAAGCAAGCGCGGAGGACAAGGTCCCACCGGCGGCGGCGTTGCGAGACGGGGTGCAGATGGGCTTAGCCGCCGGCCTTGACATCCACTCGCACCTTTCAAGCCTGCATGGAAAGCGGGGGGGCGGGAGGGCTCTTGTGATGTGGCTTCATGGGCGTGATGGTGCAACAGAGTGGGAAGGGGGCAGGGAGGGGTATGGGAAAGACGACCGGCGAGGGATTTTCTTCGAAATGAGTGCCAGCGGAACCCGGCGGAACCAAGGGAGGGAGGCATCAAGGACGTATGACATTCAAAGTCTAGGTCTAAATGTTTACTAGCAACATGGAAGCTGCAGGAGCGTCATGTATGATTATTTGTTTTTTCTTGGTTCACAGCAGTATCGCATAAACCGCACCAGACGCGAATACTGCGTTCGGCAAAGACCTTCGAGATGGCACCCAGCGTGTAGCGAGGGGCACAGATTCCTTGGAATTGCGACTGTTGCAGCGCAAAAACAGCAGTGGATAAAAGAACTGGCGTCGTTGGACCAAGCCGCGTCTGAGGCTCTGTTGTTTTCGAGATGCAAGCCCTTGGCACGAATAATCATTTGGAAGGGTCCACAAAACCCGCTCTTTGCGACCTGTCGTGATCGCGAGACCAAACGCTTGGAAACCGGCGCGTGTGAAACCAGCCCGCACCTGGCAGCAACGTTGGTTGCGGCAAGCTTGAGCAAGTCGGCCGCGGATCCCTGCGTGGTGGTATTCGCGGCCTGCCGCTCAGCTCTCGACCTCTCCGCCTTGTCTGTCGAGTTGATCTGGGGCAAGTACCGACGACGGCCCAACAGGGTCTCCACGTACCTTCGCGCGCCGTAAATCATGGTGAGTGTGTGGGATGGGGCGTGCGCGGGGGGAAGGTCTAGTCAGTTCAATACAGTTTCTTTCATACCAGTGCGTCGTTGATGGGGGGAAGGCGGAAGTGGGAGGGGGGGAATGAATTCCATATTTCCTCCAAGATGAATGTCCATGTCTTTCTAAGGCATGGAAAAATTTAGGAAGAGAATGAGATCGCGGCCAAGGTCTGTTCGCTACCAGCAGACAACGGGTGGTGCACGATGTCACACAAGATTTCATTGATCGTGTTGCAAGGACACGCCCGCGGAGGATCTGTGAACGGGCAAGAGAATCGGAGGCACCTGCTGATAATCTACCCGGTAGGCATAATTTTCGTTTCGTCGTTCCTGTTCAACCTTCCTCTTCTCGTTTGCGGTGCTCGCCCGGTCGGTGAGAACCCAACGTGCTCGGTGTTGGCAAAAGAGAAAAGTTGAAGTGCGGACGGGTGCAAGGGCTACATCGTTTACCATACAACGTACAGCAAACCCGCAAACGACATGACTCTCCCTACACAACGAAAATCACTCCCATGTCAAATTCTAATCGCCACATCCACCGGTGTTGGAAACGTTTTCGCCGGCAAAAATTGTACTTCTATTCCCTGATATGTGTCATGTGGTATACTTTTGGCATACGGCGCAGTCTATTCCGTTCGCTACAGTCAGCGGTGTACGCTGCCTCAAGATAGTGGCTGACCTAACTCTCATTATATTTTCAGTCGTTGACAAATCGGCAAGGAGGACGGTAACGAGGGTACAACGCGCAAGGAGATGACTACTTCTGTTCCGTTACGTCCCGTTCCATCCGCCCACCCTCCTACGGAACGTAAACGTTTTAGCAACTCGATTGGATCTCCTCCCTCTCCCCCTCTTCTCTTTTTTTGAGTCTTACCCGCACTCCTTGCAGTCCTCCTTAACCTTCTTCAGGAACTCGGTCAATTTCGGGTACGTGTTGAGCACCGTCTGCCTGATCTTGAAGGCCTCGGGACGGCTCAGGCGCAGCTGCGGCACGAGGGCGTCCGCTGACTGCCCGTACAGCACTCCGTACACGACGATCTTTGTCTGGAGAGGTCGATCAACACGTCGAAGGCGGGGACGGGGGGCGTTCCCTTATGTTTTGCATGTCTTAGCGGTAAGACCATTGACCACGCATGCTCGAGAGGGTGGATCATGCGTTTTTTTGTCCTTTGTGCCTCAGAGTACCCGCATTGATCGTGCACAAGGCACCTCAGGGTTGGGCCGGGGGAGAGAGTACGAGGGGACCGTTGGGTAAAACTGAGCAAAGACGTCGGGTGTAGAATGGTAGGTACGATAGGAAGGTGAACCCACGAAACACAATAGTTACAGTACCAGATTTGTACCAAGACCGGCACAAACGCTGTTCAAGAGATGAATCGTTCGATGGATCAAGAAGAGAGCCACGACAAAACCAATAACCAGCATCTCATTTCAAGACCGAACGAACCTGACGACGCTCCTCCTCTGTGATGTCCTCGGCCTTGTTGCCCCTTCCCTTCAGTGCCGCCGCAATCGTCCGAAACACGTCCCCTCCGTCGGCAAACACTTTCAGAAGATCAGGATCGCCGGAGAGATGGGCCATCAGTCGCATTTCCACCTTCATAGTAGCAATATGCGACGGGCGGGCAAACATGGGTGGCTGGCGGGGGTGGGGGGTCGCACATCTGTGTGCTGAGCGTTGTGTTGGACCTGCGAGTATCAGGTGGGCAGGACAGGACCGACTGTGCCATCACCCGATCTCTGCGAAATGTTGTAAGACTGCTTTCATTCTCCGCGCAAACGATGACAACGCTAACCGCAAAAGCATTACGAGAAAATGAAACGTCCGCCCGCATCGACTAACTTCCAAAAAGCTTCTGTACCATGACACGAATCCAAAGACACGGCACTGCGCTACCATGACACTCATCGATGTTCCAAGAGGTCACACGTGAAACATGATTGTCGCTCGTATGATGCAGCTTTACATCCCAATCCATCTCCATCGCCCACACTCCAACGACGGAATTCTGACATCCTTCCGCGCCTGATCCCATCATGCTGTGGTTGACCACGAAACAACATCCGCTTGTACGGTTGCAAAATGGGTATTATGGCTCCCATCACAACTACAAACATTTCACCACGTAGTCCCCGACCAACCCATCGGCGTCTGTCTCGGCGAAAACCATAGAGTGCACGGGAGGCAATATACGGAAAGTAAGGTAGAGGTCATAGTCAGAGGCACCCGCGGACATCAATTGAGCTTGCAACAACCAACGTTGTAGTCCCTAGGGTGTGTTCCAGCTTGGGGATGTAGATCATAGCCGCTGACGTTTCGGTGCTTGCGATGTTCAGGCTCAAACAAAACCGGAAGCGCGCCTGCAGCGTTCATGCATAGGAAGATGAACACTCAAACCAATAGCGCACCCCAGTATGCACACACTTCATCACCTGCGAGTAGTCAGCGGACACGAAAGCATACCCCGGGGACGCTACGAGGCTGTCCCTGGGTTTCATCATTGCTTCCTTGGCGAACCAGGGACACCTGGCCCCCAGCCCCCCTTCCTTCATGGCCTCGGCTTTCGCGTCGCTGAAAAAGTTCGCCTGCACTCGGAAGACCTGGCAACGACAGCAATGTCGATGACGACAACGGTATTGACGACGACAATTCCGATGACACAGATCTTAAAATAGAAGCAAAATTCTGCATGTTTTCAAGAGCACAGCCGCAGCAGCGTCTAATATCCTTCACGTGAGTGCCATTCTGAGCACGCCTCTCAGCAACTCGTTACAGTACAACGACGCACTTCTTCCTCTCCCTCGCCTGCCTCTGTCTGTCTCACGCTCACTATCGCCCCTACCTTATCAGCAGGGTAGCTGTATACCCTTCCGCGTCGACCGCCCAGCCTCACCAACACCTGCCTCGTGCTTTCTGCCTCCCAGGAGGAGTACGAGTGACCGCTTTCCCGCCAAAGAGACGCCTGCAAACAATTCCAAACACCAGGGTTTTTTGTTCCTGAAAAGGCAAGGGATTGGTATTGATATTGGAACAGCTTTTGCAATTAATAACTAGGTCTGCAATTTTCGGAGAGGGAAAGGGTGGGGGGTCGTAGAAGCAACATAATTGCTGTGTTTCTGCCGTAGCCGTCCTACATGGCACCCGCTGGACGCACGACTCTTGCAGAGTTGATCTCCTCGCCCGCGGCAAAAAAAACACATGTACCTCTCGAAATTGCTGCTTCTGTACTTCTGGCACCGAGGGCCGACGTTGTGGAAGATACAGCCAGCCAGGTTCACACACAGCAATTCTTATTGTTCCACCCGCACCCCGGCATCAAAACCCCTTCATCCCGTGACGTTCCCTGTTCACAGAGGGCTCCTCGATAACAACCTCTCTGGACCACGAGAATGGCTTCGCCATTTGCCCACACTAATCAGGACACACACCACAACAAAAACCTCCCGGGTTTTCCATAACTACAAACCGGCCGAGAATCGGGGACTCTTGCCCCGGAGACAAGGTCTGATCCCCTCCAGGAAGACAATCACCCGCACACCGTTCTTACCATGCTTCCGGCGCCAACGGCAGGGTCTTCTGGAGCGCGAGCGGCTGGTGGTCCGTTTCCGACGTCCCCATCGGGATCAGTGTGCCTGTGGACGGGGTCGTTGAGGCATTTGTCTTCCACGACGGCCACGATTTCACCCGTGCTCATCATGGTCGCGTTTCCTCTGGGGGCCAGGGCTACCCTGCCGTTTTTTTGGAAGAAGATGGAACAGCATCGGACACAACAGTCTTGGAAGTACACGTTATCCTAATGTGTCGAAACCATTTTTAGTAGTGGACGAACCAGTAAAAGGACGTGGGAACTCAGTCAACTAAAACAAGCGACTGTTTTCAAGATGTCGAGGGAGAAAAAGAAACGGCAGCAGAGCATGTGTTGAGGCGCGAGACATGTCCAACGAAGCATTCACATTGACCAAACACCGCCACTGGACGTTTTCCAACACGTGAAATGACCGCAGGCCAACCGCAAGCGCACCAGCATACGATCGGAGCGAAGCTATTTTCAATATCACCTTGACAACAATAACGACAACAACAGGGAGTGCCAGTGCGTTGATGGCATATCAACCAACATTGGCCTATTGTCGAGGGCATAAGACAGGGTATATCGACGCAGCACAATGTGCACGGCCATGTTTCCCTCGAGAAGGGCGTTGGGGTCCCTCTCTCGCGCCTCGTGTCTTCTCCAGTCCTCTGCTTTCGCTACAACATCTATCTCACCTTACCGCCTCTCGGAACTCCTCCTCCGCCTCCGGACTCAAACGCGGCGATGAAACAGCTCCCCGGACTCCTGACTGGGAACCCCCTCCCTTCGCATCCGCCCATAACCGAGGCACGATCTGGACCGAAAAAAACGAGGGGAAAAGAGGGAGAGACAGAATAGAGCTGAGGGCGGTGGCCGGTGGTGAACAAAGTGCAACAGGACTCGCACAATCCCCCGCGTTCAGGACCGGCCAGGGCTGGCCTCCGTTTCTTTCGTGAGGCTGGGCCGCGACGGCATTGCCTAAAGACCTCCAAGAGCACCGCCGCGAACAGCCAGTACCGCCAGCAAGCACCTCATCCGCACCCCTCAGGCGGCATACCCTCAGCGCAAACACAATACGACCAAGAAGGCGACGCACTCGAACCTACCGGCCCCTTCAGGGTGAAAAATGGTGGACGAAAACGGTACAACCACTTACAGTACACGTACGGGGCCCCAAAAGGAGAAGGTTTGTGCCGTTATTCCTCCTCACCTCCAAGCCAGGCACGTCGGCCTCCATTTCTTCGGCCAGGCTTGTCCGCCACGATCTCGTCAAGACAATCTTGTGGTCCAGGTTCTGCAGCGGTGGGTCGGACGTGATCATCCTGCCCGTCGTCGTGAAGAGGTCGATCCGAGGGTTCACGCGCACTCCGTCTTGGTAGTAGTTGATTGGGTTTGGTGTTAGGACGAGGAGGAAGGAAGAGGGGGAGACAACCGAGAGGGCGAGGCGACGGGGGTCAGGGGACGGATTTGGACGAAGACCGTTACACCAACGAGAAAGAAAGGCATTTGACGAATTTCGGACATATGTGTTGCGAAACTGTTTTCCGTGGACTGGCCGGCCCTGGAAGTAAACTCGTTAAAATTAATAACTTGCATCACCGCACACGGACTCCAATCCGCACGTGCACACACCTAGGTGCGGATGCCGTCGCTTCGTCGCCAACAGCCCTGCGAGGGAGCGCTTCGCCGGTGCCAGGTAGCGATGCTGAATCACGGCAAGAATGAAGCTGCGGGCTTGCTGGACTCAAGACCATCACCAAATTCATGTGGGAGGGGGCATGCCGGAAACGGGGTGGGGAGTGGAATGCTATCAAATATTCGGCGCTGCATCTTTCTCGCCTCGGAACGAAGACGAGGGATCTGCGCCTGTGCCCACAGGGTCAACGAGTAATAAATAGCCGTTGGACACACGTAAGGCGGCGGTTCCAGAGAATTGTGTAGGAGGCAGGAAAACCACAAGTGCAACGGGCTTTGCGTTCGCGACAGTTGTTCCGTCTGCGTGCTGGCGTACAACAGTGGATGTCCAGAGTGATGTCGCGCCACCACTACGTTGTTGCTGTTTGAAGTTGAGAAGAATCGTTGATGCCCAACAAGGGACCCGTTATATTTTCAAGAAAGGCCACCGTGACCCCATCTCTCACCTCGGTCAGGATGGTAGGGGCACGGCGAAAGGTACCACCACCACTATCCCCACGAATACTCCCACCAGCCGCAGCAGCGGCAGCAGCACTCGTCACATCCCGTGTAGCGGTAGCACCACAAGTACTCCCGGAAGCACCACCTGCTTTAGCACTGCTGCCACCGCCACCAGCGCTACCAGCAACAACATTGGCAGCAGCAGCAGCAGCAGGATCACCCGTACCAGTGGCGGCAACGGCAGCAGCACAACTTCCGGCAGCAGTGCTTGCAGCAGCACTGCTGTCACTGCCACCACCGTTACTAGCAGCAGCAGCAGCAGCTGCTGCTGCTGCTGGTGGTGCAACGGCGGAAACCTTCAACAGCTCCTGCAGGCTGCTGGTGTCCGTCGGTCCCAGGCTAGCCCGCTTTGACGCGCCTCCGCTACCGGCACCGCTGCCCCTCCCGGATGTCCAAGACGGCGGGGGCTTCACCCCTAGCGTCACGTACAGCATGTCGTGGATGCGCTTGGGGCTGGCCAGTGCCGTCTTGTCGTCGAGTTCCTGCACGGATATCAACAAGGTTGTTTGATGTTATGCATGAAGGCGTTTTTTTGGGCTCGGGAACGAAAACATAACGCAAGACGTTGCACAACCAACTGCTGTGCGTGGTGGGGCTCCGTGATCACCGCGTTGTGCAGTGGTGCTGTAGTAGGGCGGACACCGTCCGTATGGCCCGGGGTGGGGGGTGCGTCTCTCGGTGGCTACACTGTCACCTGCTGTTTGTGTCGCGTTTGCGTTGCTGTTGGTGGTTGCTGATGTTGTTGGGGTCTAAACATTGAAAGCCATTCCGGTCGCTGCTCAGTATCCCGTAGTATTCGTGTCGGTCCGACGCACGCCAACGCCTTCCGTGGTCGCAGGCCAACTACCCCCTAAGGGTATCACCCTACAGGTGTACGTAGTGGGTTTCATCGAGCAACAGTACCAGCAAGACGACACAATACCCGTGCGACGCGATGACTATTGTGTCGTTGTTTTGGTATTTTCAATGTTGCCGCAAGTGCGGAGAGCGGGGAGATATGTGGCAGCACCCCCAGCTTTACGAGAAACAACAATCTCTTAATCAGCAGTAGCGTGTGGAACGACGGACGATAATCCACGGGACTAGAGTCTACCAAGAAGAAGGCGCCGCACCAGACGCCAAGCACCGAGAGTCGAGTCAAACCGTGAGCGGCGAGCTTAGGCTCTGAGAGAGAAATATCTCACGGTTTGTATTGTGTGGGGACAAATCAAACCACAAAAAAAACTCACAGGTGAAGAACTACGTGAAGAAAATGTTTCGCTCATCACATATACTTGTGCAGCCATTCGTTTGGGAACACCCCACTCGCGGACTAGAGGAGGGCGGTACAGGCTATTCATTCAATGCAAACCCATGTAGAATCGCCTAACACCTCTATTTCATTGACTACACGTTGGACAGAGCGGCGTTTCAGACACCTACGGGCCCTGTTGACACCCACCACTTCGAATCAAAGACAAGCTATGCATCCTACACCCCTCCGT